CATCGGAATTGGCAGTGGAATTAGTTTATTTGACGCTTTTCCAATTGACGACTGTGTTTTTATCTTTCTAATTAAATTAGTTAAAACTTGCGTTTTGAGTGAATTTTCGAGTGCTTGTGATAATGAAAGTCAAAAGGGCAACAGAATCGAGCTTCAATGGCAGCGACGATCCATCCTCCCTGATCGGTTTTCTTCCGCAGGTAAAATGAAAATTTGGATAAATCTGATATAGCTTGATGCTGAGTTCAGTGTCCGATAGTACAGAAAACTAAATCTCCCAGTTGTGCCATGTTTTACTTTCTAATTTATTAGAGGAGATACAATTAAAATCATAATGAGACGTGGAACACATTAAATAAAATAATCGCGCCAGATGATGGATATAAGAAAATTGAGATAATTAATTTCATGTAGAACTCACCCCGGAAACACAATTATACCGATTTCACTTCCAGCAATAAAAAGTGCTTGTCTTTCTGAATATATAATGGTATATTCGCGAATAAAGTCTCAAGTATTGTTATAAAACTAGGCCTCTCTTTAGACCGTGAAACTTGAAGTGAGTCATATCAAATACATACGTATGTTATCTCGTGCAGTTGCGTGTAACTGATAAGACAATGGTTTACTCACAGTGTTTTTTGATTACTATTATAACTATTGGTATTTTACTGGTATTCCAAAAAATGTGAGTAAATGTCGAATTTTCTTATCTGCACGTGAGCAATTGTTGGACACAAAATTTCGTCATATTAATTACGCAATCGTTTAATATTTACGATATATATTATAAATAAAATATCACAGTTGCAAATTTCATTAAATATTCTGGTTAATATACTTGTTAATTAAATCAATTTTAATAACATGACTTCAACATAAAACTTAATTATAGAAATTAAATATTAATATTGAAATTAATCTGCATGATTTCGGGTTATCAGTTGCCTCTCCTTTTATTTGCTTTATTACATTTATCTACTTCCCGTAATTATTTAATTACGCTTCAGTTTGTTAAGTAAGCAAACAAGAAGTTTTTTGACGCATTCTGTTAAGGCTAGTTGACTTCGAAACATCGTTAGTAAGCTTTACAAGCGTAGAACTCCATACGTATTGGAAAGAAATCGGGTCAGAAGATAACGGTAAGAGATTAGGAATTTATATGCGCATTTCTATGGACGTCCTTCTCGCTGTTTATCTGCGTATAAAATTCTCGTCCATGGAATTCTCGTCTATAGTATTTTGCTTACCTAAATATGCAGTAGTAATTGTATCAGATTGCCTTTTTCAACAGAAAATTTTGCAATGGAAATTTTTATATTATAAAGTTTATTTCGAGTCTATTCACTATATTGTATCGACAATAAAAATACGCTATTGTTGCATTCAATGATTCATTAGACATTCTAGGATTAATGCAAACGCAGCTGCTGCATGCATCGCATAAAAAGTTCATTGCCACGCGATGATTAATACAAAGTATTTATTATCTTTTCAGTTAAACTCTACTTTGTACAAATTGTGTTATGTGTGCGTACATCTGTTTAATTTATATAAAAACAAATGCATTAAAACCATTAAACATATAAATTATTTCCATAAATATTAATCTCGCATATTTCAAATGTTCCATCGGGGTTTACACGGAAAAGATAGTTTACTGACGTATCTAAAAATATAGCATGGGAAAAATGATTTTGAACTATCTAAAAATTTACACAGTTAAAAATTTGAAAATAATTTTGTTAAACTATATTCAAATAATTACGTAAATTATTATATTACGTCTTTTGAAGCATTTCGAGCAATTCTACAAAAAGTTTTAGCAAAATAGCAACTAGTTTGAACGTCATTATTTTGATGGTTCAATAAAATTATTTTGCAAATTGTATCTAGCTAAATTTTTTTTAATACTTTTGTAAAATCATTTTTTCCATAGACACAGATCTGAAAATAACTTTATTGGACTATTAAAATAATTATGTAAATATCTTAAGTATTATGACAATATATTATGCAAAAAGTTTTAAAATTCTAGCAACCAGTTTCAGTATCCTAAATATAATATATATAAATATTTTAATGATCCAATAAAATTGTTTTCAGATCTATATAAATTTTTAGATACTTCGGCAAAAACCATGCATTTTTTTCGTGTAGATACATATCTGAAAATAACTTTGTTGGACAATTGAAATAATTACGTACATATTTCAAACATTATGAACAATTCTACAAAAATTGTAAATATTCTAGCAATTTTTTTGAACGTAATTATTTTGATGGTCTAAAGAAATTTTCTATATCTAGAAAAATTTTTAGATTCTTTAGAAAAACAATTCTTTCCTTGTAGACACAGATTTATAAATAACTTTATTGCACCATTAAAATAATTACGTAGATATCTCATTACGAGTAATTCTGCAAAAGGTTTCGACATTCTAGCAACCTTTAAACGTCCTACATAATTATTTTGATTGTCCAAACAAAATTATTTTCAAATCTAGCTAAACTTTTAGATTCAGCAAAATCGTTCTTTCATATAAGAAAACTTACGATTTAGCGTTCACAAATCAGACACAGAAAAAAGACGAAGGTTTCATCGACTTCAATTATTTTAACATTCAAATTAACGCGTTACTTCTCAAAATTGCATTGCTAGTAAACCACTACATGGCATCAAATTGCAAAATCCTGGCTTGATGCCACACTTCGCGCTGTTTCAAGAGATATTTGCCGAGCGTTTCTCCACATCTGGTGGCGATGGCGACGGCGACGGTCGTCGTCTGTGATTCCGTCGGATACCCGTGAACGACTAGTATTGCGACGGCGCATTCGTCAACTGATACCGTCATTGATAGGCGCGCGCGTTATGTCCGCGTGCAACAGACAGCGTGTAGCTCGTCTGTGCGCGCAAATATTTTCACGTGCGTGACTATGCGATGTGGGCGGCGAGGGACGATGGACAAGAGACGTTTGTGGAAGGCCAGAATCGGTTAGATGCTCTCGCGACTCCCGCGATACACTTAGTCCACGTCCGGCGTATCACGAAAGCGCTCCGCATTTTATCATCCACGCTATCGGGATCAACGCGTTACCGGCAACAACGAGGTGTGACGCGTTGATGTAATCTGACCGTCTTTACGGAAAATCATTCATAAAGTCGAATGCGTCATGGGAAATTCACGATGTGCGGTGCGATAAAGATACGATTGTGAGTTGGCGGGACCATCATTTATTCTGGTAAAGTAATCGAATCACTTGACTTCGATTTCGATTTATGTTTGATAGTTCAAAGTAACGGGATAAACATTTACGATAATAACGATTTTATTGAGATATCTAAACATATTTTAGCTTTATACAGGTTTGAAACTTTATTAGAATATTAAAGTAATTATGCAGAATAATCAAACTGGTTGCGAGAAGGTCGATATTTTTTGCGGCATTGATCATCATACGTGAGATTTCTACGTAATTATTTTCTGTTTTAATTTAAAAACTTAATTAGATCTGTAACTAAACTTTTAAATACTTCAGTAAAACAATTCCAATTAATACAATACTTTATTTTAGTGTGTATAAGACCGGAATCAGACATTGAAGGTTCAAATTGAAGATTGAAAGATTGAAAGATTGAAATTTGACCAATCAAAACAATAGAAATTAAAATTCCTTTGTCCTCTCTCTCACTGGTTAAATCTCAATCTTTAATACGTAGTCTGATTCTGGTCTAATTTCACTCTTCCACTTGTTTGTTCCCTTTTTTGTGATTTTAATCATTCTTTAATAATGTTTAATTATAATAATTATTAGGAGAAATTAATAATTACTCACACATATAATAAAATATTTCAATATTTAATTGCATTATTATCAAATATAATTAATATTATTTTATGCAATAAATATTAATACCTTCATATTAGTGAAGGTATTAAATTATGCTGCTGCATATCTGAAAATACGAAGATATTAAAATTATTACACTATATCTTTAATTTTTTTATAATGCTATTTTAATGTGAAGATATGTATAAAATTTATTTTAATATTTATAAATAACACTTAGATTAATATTATTTAATTGAAAAAGTATTTTAAGGGCGAAATAGTTAGATTTCAAATAAAAAAGTTATTCTCTTATTCAAACTCTATCTTCGAAGTATTTCAACTCTAATTGCAGATATTTTTTCTCAATTCTTAGTTTTTATTATAACACTCGAGTATAATTTGTCGCGATTGCTCGACATACTCGCAAAATTGTTAATCTTGTACTGTAATTTTTATTTGGAATATCAGCGTGAGATATAAATTCAAAATTTAAAATAATATTAATTTGTGTGAAATCAAAGGTGCCCAGACAGATGTTTAATGATTTAATTCGATTTTTAATGTTGATATATTTGATATAATTATTGTTTCATTGTCTCGATTGTCTCATTCGAATTTCGATGTTATAAATGCGCGTCTAATTAACATACAAAGACTCACGCATACAAACGCCCACTTTTCGCAGCTGCGTTCCTGTGAGATGATTATGAGATCGAAATAGCTTATTTCAAGTTATTAAGTTCTAATTACCAATACTGTACAATCCGCCGTAATCTATACGGCAAGATTCTCGCGAATCCACAATTGGAATACGCAAATGGATAAATTTCGTAACGACGCTTTCATGTAAAGTAGAAAAAAATAGACGTAATACAGTTTACAACACTCTTCGATCTAAATATCGACATTATTTCGCGCTTGACATTTTAAATGCTTTTAATTTTAACACTTTAATTTTTTTTTCATCGAGAGGGGTAGAAGATGAAAGAAGTGAAATCGACGTTTGTTTGAATTTTAGGAACTAAAGCGGCTTCAATAAAGGAAGGACTGCCTTGGTTTATCTCTCGATGATACTTCTGCTAGATTTAATCATTCTTGTTAATATTACTCGATATTAATGATCGAAGCTCGGCACGAAAATTTGACGAAAATTGTAAAAGGATACCGTTATTACTTAAAATGAGTGGGCCTTCCGGTGATTGCAACGTGCAACCGACGCAGGTGAATAATTTAATCGTCGAATGAACAAGAATCACAAATGATTGCGAAAAAAAACAGAGTAACAAATATCGAGGAAATAATCTTCGCTTTGAATGGACGCGGTATTTTTAGCGATTTTATCATTTAAGAATGTACATGTATCTTTTTAATTAAATGAAAAAGTTATAAAAAAATTACAGATTTTTCTATATTGTATTTGTGAAAGTAGTTTGGCGGTGATTTAAAATCTGAATTAAACGTTATTTCAATAAGAAATATAGACACGTTTTTAAAAAATAATTAAAATGAGAAAATTTTTGAACAAACAAAACAATGAACATATAGAAGTCAAGCGCAGAAATTGTTGCGCAGAAAATGATTCCCTATAATTTTATTATTAATAAATGGATCTTATTAATTTTTAATTATAGCGAATTTTCTGCGCAACAATTTCTGCACTTGACTTCTACACGTCATTGTTGTTTTGTTTGTTTGAATTATTAGAAGTTTCTTAAATTGAGAAAATTTAAAAATTACGCAAAAATTAACTACAAATAGTTTTTGAGACAAAATTTTTAAAATATATACCGAATGATATAAAAATATTGAAAAATTGTATTGAATGAAATGAATGTAAAAAGAAATTATTAATAAAATTTTTTTCATTATTTAAAAAAAAAATTTTTTAAATTATCAGTTTGTAAAGTCTATATCCTATCTATTAGTTGAATGTCCTTCACGTAGCATGTATAAAAAAAAAATTAATCGAAATTTTGTCGCAATTATAAAATTTTTATTAAAAAAATAAATTTTTTTTAGTATGCTTATATTTAATACAAGTATCTTTAATTTTTCACAAGAAATAGTTTCAGGATATATGTAAGAAGGAATAAAGAGTGTAATGAGAGATTGTAATATTCTACTTTGTTATTAAGAATGTTTTTCAAAAACATTCTGTGCTAATTAAGCCTTTGTCTAGACACAAAACTTGTTCTTTTTGTAACTGCAATTTGTATTATCTTTTTTTTTATTGCGTCATTCTGGAATCATTGAAAGAATTTGCTATTATTTTCCTGCAGTTTTCAAGATATTTTTCCATCAAAACATTTTGTTTAAGCTGCGATCTCAAAAGCTGTTTGTGAATACAATGATAGAGATACAGGAAATAATAGCAAAGTCTTTTAATGATTCTGGAATGACAATAAATGCAACATAGAAAAAGATAATATGAACTGCATTTACAAAGAGAATAAGCTTTACGTCAAGAAGAAGACCTATAGTGCAGGAAATTTTTGAAAGAAATTCTTAATAATGAAGTAAAATATTATAATCAATATTCATTTCGTGTCTTTTTATATGCATCCTAAAACTATTTCTCGTTACAAATTACAAATATAATACTTGTATTATTAATGCTTGTATTAAATATAAGCATATTTAACACTAACACACAGAAAAAAATTGAAAATTTATTTTTCAAGGAAAATATAACTGCGACAAAATTTTATCCTTTTCACTAATTTTTTTTCTACATGTTATATAAGAGATATCCAACAAATAAAGATGCAGATTTTACGATCTGATTATTTTCTAAAATTTTTTTTTCAAAATGATGAAACAAATTTTATTAATAATTTATTTCTACATTATTTAATTCAGTGAAAATAACATTAAAATATTTTTCAAATTTTGTTTGAAAAATTCGTAGTTGATTTTTGCATGAATCTCCTTTCCTTTATATATAT